AAGCCACCTCCGCGTTCAGCTCCCTCCTGCCCCGCTGCTGGCGAGTCGCCGTCGCGCGCGCGGCGCCTCCTCGCAGGAGCTGGGCCCCCCGCCGCGGCGGGCGGCGGCGCCGCGACGGCCGGCGCCCGCGGGCCGGCCACGGCCAGCGGCCCAGGCGCGGCCACCCCAGCCGCGGGAGCTTCGACCCCCATCGGGCCTCCGCCCCCCTCGGCTGCGGGCACAGCGGCAGCTGCAGCGGCGCCTGCAGCCTCGCCTTGAGAATGTTCGCACAGGGCTCTCTGGGTCTCAGCCCTCGCAAGGCTCGCCGCAGCCTCGTCGTCGCCATTCATGTTCGTCTTGATCCGAACCTGATAGGCCTCCATGTGAGCCCGAGCTCGGCGCCTCACGCGCGCGGCGTCGCAGTCCGCGCAACCCTCGGTGCAATCGCGCTGCTCCAGGTCATCACGCTTGTTGATGTAGACGCGCCGCGGCACCATCTCTGGGCCCGCCGGCGCCGGGGGCAGCTCCTCGGGAGGTACCGCTGGCTCCGCAGCGAGCGGGGTGCCAGGCCCTCGCTCGGCAGCCGCGTCAGGCCCGCGTCGATTCCACGGCCGCCTCGAACCCCTCGCAGGGGCCCCCCATCAGCTCGCCCCCCATCAGGCAGGCGTCGGAACGTCCGCGCCTTGCACACTTGGCCAGTCGGGGCCCCGATGAGCGCGCCATTGGCGTCCTCGGCGATCCCCGGGATCACGCCGGGCCGAAACTCGCCTCCAGCCCGATGGCCCCCTCACCGACCAGCAGGAACAGCACCTTCTCACCTAACTCGGCTAGCGCCCTCCTGCATGGCTCACCGCACCGCCCCCCCCAAGGCGCCACCCCGTCAACGCCGCGGCGGCCCATGTTCATGGTCGTCGCCGCCCACCGCGCGGGCCGCGTCGCCGCTGCCGAGTTGCTCGGCAGGCCCGCGTCCACGAGCTCCTTCACTCCCTGCGCAAGCGACCGCGTCTTCGCATTGATCCCCCGAACAACGCGCTCCGCCATGCCATCCGACTGCGAGCCCCCGGCGCTCGAGCTCTCCAGGACTATCTCAGCCCCGTGGTGGGCCAGAACCCTGCTGTCGAAATTCTGCCACTCGCAGCCTCAGCGCTGCACGTGCCCACCACGCCCCTTCGACGGCAACGCTCTGCAATTGAAGCACTAGCGCCTCGAGTCGCTGCCGCGCAGTAGCGGAATGGCACCCATCCCAGATTCGCCGCGCCCCACAGAGCACCCGTCGTCGACGCCGACCACCGCGATGGCCCCCTCCAGCGGAGCGACCCAGACGCGCGAGCGCCCGATACCCGTCGCCCCGCGCTCGCTGGGCACCGCGAGCGGCAGGGCCCATGGAGTGAGTAGGGGCCCCCTGCCATGCGCCCGCCCGCTCGCGACCTTCGAGCCTCGATCGTAGATATTCTCCTTCGTCGCCGCGCAGCATGACCCGCCGGCCCCGCCCTTCTTCAGCGGCACTTCTGGGAGCCAGCCCTAAGGCAGCACCGACGCTGCCGCGCACGAGTTGGCCCCGATCTCCAGCACCTGGCCCTTCGTCTCGCCAACGTCGGCACCTTGGCTCAATCCGCAGATGAGCAAGCCCCCCAGCGTCTTCTCCTGATCGGGCTCGGCGCGGTCGCGCTCTCCTTCGCCCTGGCCCCAGTCGCCCTGCCAGTCGTCGCCCTCGCGCGGCGCGTTGAAGTCCTCGGTCGAGCACTGCGCCTTCGCGCGTCCTTTGCAGCCACAGCTGCAGCATTTCATCGGGCCACTCTTGCCCTTGCTGGTCCTGCCTTTGCCTTTGCCAAGTCCTTTCTGACTCTTGAGCGGGGCGCCACCTTGGGGCCGATGCGCACCGCCACCAGGCTTCCTGCAATCCCCCCCGCAGCGCCCGCGGCCCCTGCAGTTGCGGCACGTCGCGCCCGTCTTGCCTTTGCCACCGACCAACGCACCGATGTCCACCTGGATCGGGCCGCTCACGCCCGGCACAGACGTCGTCGCCCGCCTGTAGCTCGCGACCTCCGTCTTGAAGTCGGCCCAGCTGGCGCACTTACTCGAGCACAGGATCAGGCGGTCTTTCACGGCCCCCTTCTCGAGCCCATTCAACACCATCCCGATACGAAGGTGCAGGCTGATCTTCTCGTCCGACCTCTGCTCATACCTCTGGATATCTATTTCTATCTCTCTCTCTCTGTCCCTCTCTCTCTCTATCTCTTATGTTTTTTATTTATCTCTCTCTCTCTCTCTCCCTCTCTTTCTTTGTCTCTCTCTCTCTCTCTCTCTCTCTCTCTCTCTCTCTCTCTCTCCCCCTCCCCCCTCTCTCTCTCTCTCTCTCTGACTCTCTTTCTCTCTTCTCTCTCTCTCTCTCTCTCTCTCTCTCTCTCTCTCTCTCTCTCTCTCTCTCTCTCTCTCTCTCTCTCTCTCTCTCTCTTCTGAACAGCTCGACGCCCGACTGGATACCGCCCGCGAAACCCCAATTCGGGGAGGAGACCTGGCAACCTGGTCGCTGCAGCACTGTCGCACCTCTGGTTGAGCTGTCTCCGTGCTTGTAGACCTTCACCGACTCCACTGTTCACCGCAATGTCGAGAGGCTCGTTCCGCATCAGCATCACCAGCATCTAGTAAAGGGATGCGCTCGCTTCGGCAGCCTCTCAGCCGAGCCCGTCGCCGGTCATAGCCTCGTCCAGCGACTTAGCCGTCGGTGCCAGCCCAGCTAGCACACTGCTGCACAGGCCCGCGTACGCCCTCCTGAACGTACTCCAGCCAACCCACTTTGTCTCGGTCCCCTCTAAGGTGTCGGGCCGACCCAACATCCGCGTGTCCACGCCGAAGTAGTTCCCTGCCTGCTCAGCGCCGCCTCCACGGCGCGCGCCCTTGCCCTTGGCACCGCCGGCCGAAGCGGCCTCCTCTGCTCTGTTCGCGGCGGCCTCCGCTGCCTCCGCCCTTTGCGTCGCAGCCTGGAGCGCCTGCTCCAGCTGTGTAAATCTCTGCCCCGACGCCATCGTGACTCGGGTTCCAACTCAATACTGAGCTGGCCCCCGTCGATCTCTCGGCCACGCGCATTGACCTCTTTCAACCGATGTCCGAGGGCAGCCCACGTTCGTCGTCTCAGCGCCAACCTTCTCGCCTTTCTGACAATCCTCGCCCACCGACAGGTGACGTCGATGGCGTCCCAAGCCACTGTCGTTCTCAGCTGGGACATCGCTGGAACCCGCAGCGCTCTTCGCTACCATGAGAAAGGAGTGCCCCGTTTTACAGAGGCACATCAGCTTGATCCAAAACAGTAGCAGTCACACACGCATGCAAATTCACAAGATACATGTTCGCCTCGAGCGTTTTTGTTGGGGCCTCAGTAACCCTACAAGGGGCTCCGATTCTCGCTAACTGCGAATAAGAAAAAGAAGAAGAGGAAGAATAGCAAGACTGGGAAGACAAGAAAATGACTCGGAATTGCGCGTGGCCTGTGCCGTGCAGAGGAGGGAGCTAAGGAGGTAGGGAGGGAGGGAAGGAGAGGGGGAGGAGGAGAAGGACGAGGAGGAGGAGGAGGAAGAGAAGGAGGACGAGGGGGAGGAGGAGGAGGAGGAGGAGGAGGAGGAGGAGGAGGAGGAGGGGAGGAGAGGGAGGAGGACGAGGAGGATGAGGGGGATGAGGGGGAGGAGGAGGAGGAGGAGGAGGAGGAGGAGGGGGACGGAAGCTGAAGGAGGGGAGATAACAGGGGGCTGGTCTGGGCTGCGGCTGTGGTGAGCATATATATATATATATATATATGCATATACATATACATATAACTATACATATATATATATATATACATATACAAATACATATACATATACATATACATATACATATACATATACATATACCTATACATATACATATACGTATGCATATACATATACATATACCTATACATGTACATATACACATACATCCACATACACATACACATATGCATATACATATACCTATACATATACATATACATGTAAGTATACATATACCTATACATATACATATACATATACCTATACCTATACATATACCTATACATATACATATACATATACCTATACATGTACATATACATGTACACATACATATACACATACATATACAAATACATGCATGCATGCATGCATGCGTGCATACCTACATGCATACATACATACATACATACATACATACATACATACATACATACTTACATACATACATGCATATATACATACATGCATACATACATACATACATACATACATACAAAGATACACACAAACATACACCTATACATACATACATACATGCATGCATGCATGCATGCATGCATGCATACATATATACATACATGCATACATGTATAAATGTATATATATATATATGTCTCTCTCTCTCTCTCTGTATCGCTCTTTCGGCGCCTGTTGCGGCACAAATGTTGGAGGAGGGACGTCCTGGTTCTCCGACGTCGTGATTTTCTCACGGCGTGGACCCCTGGAGGTCTGAACATCTTCCTTGGGACCAACTGTTCACCCCGAGCCGCGCTGTGACGGCTCCGCTGAGGCGTCGCGTATTCGGGGAGCGATGACTCGGGGGGCAAGATCACTTCTCGGGCCCAAAAGGCCAACTTTTCTACAGTCCTCGCTTCCCCCCCATTCATCGCCCCCATTACGCGACGCCCAACCCGCGGGCCCTGTGAGGCCCCCCAGAGGCCAAAAATGTGCACAAATCTCCCGTCGTGATTTCTGGGCAACGACAGGGGCCGACGAAGGACCAGAACCCCACAACAACCTCGATTCTCGAACCCCTGATTCTGAAGTAAAGCGGAAGGCGGGGGAGAAGAGAAAAGAGAGGGGGAGGAGGGTGCAGGGCGGAGGAGGAGAATGGGCAAGGGACAAGGGGGAAGAGGAGGAAGAGGAGGAGGAGGAGGGAGGAGGAGAAGGGACGAGGACGAAGGGGGAGGAGGGGGAGGATGCGGAGGATAAGGAGAAGGAGGAGGAGGAAGAGGAAGAGGAGAAGAAGGAGAAGGAGGAAGAGGAAGCGGGCCGGGTAGGGTTGCTCAGGGGAAGCCCCCCGCGCCGTCGCCCTCGTCGTCCACCAGGCCGGCCACCTCCGCCAGGTCCATGCCGACCGTCGCCTGTGCCGGGCAAGGGCCACGAACAACGACGACGACGACGACGACGACGACGACGATGCAGAGGCCGATCGACGCCTTCGCGGGCTGACATGGGCGCAGGGGCTGGGGCAGCGGGCCTCCTCCTTCCCGAGACCTCCCGGCGCTGGCTACTGCTCCCGAGCCTCCTTTTTCGGGGGCGTCCATGAGGGGGGCGTGCACAAGGGGGGGTAGCAAATCAGGGTTCGAGGCATGTGCGCGGACGAGGGCGGTCAGCGAACGTGCTGCGACAAGAAGAGAGGGGCCATGATTCGGCAGCGAGCGAAAGGGAACATGAGAAGAAAGAGGCCTCCTAAGAAGGCGGCGAAACTTCTCGGATGCCCTCGCGCCTTTTGAGAAAGTGCATGCGTCTTCGGACAAGATTCGAAAAAAAAATCGTATCAGAAAACCAGGGGGCTTCCGAGCCGTCTGAAAAGGATTATCCTTTTCCTTCCCCCCCCGGGCTCGCCGCCGAATGATATCCCCCCAGAGCCATCACCCTCTCTGGGCCGCCCAAAACTCCACCGCGCCGACGCGGCTGCGGAGAAGCGGAGCCAGAACGACGCACGATTATACGGAGGGAGAAGACGCAGGCAGACCGCCTGATGACCTGCCAGACCACCCCAACCCAACCCGGAAACCTAAATTTCGGGTTGCGGGGTTACGAGTTCCACATCTGTTTTTCAATGTTTCCAGACGGCCCCCCCAATGGGAATGGCGGGCAGATTCGGGCCTTCGGGTTGGGTTGAGGTGGTTTGGTGGTTGGTGACCGACTGCGCCTCACACTAAGGGATCCGCGCTGTCGCCGATCTCTCCGGCCCCCAGACCATCACCCTCGGGCCCAGGGTTAAAAAATGCTACCCCAACGGCGAAGAGGTCGAGACGCTCGGCCTCGCGGATACAAAAAACAAGAGTCCGACGGGACAGGCAGAGGAGGATGAGGAGGAGGAGGAGGAGGCGGCTGCTGTACGCCTCGCGGCTAACCAGAAGTCGCACGTTGAGCTCTGCAAGTGTGCTGCACCAGCGCACCCACAGGAGCTCAGTTTACTGAGGTCTCATCTGGCAGAGAACCTGGGGGACATGCCATCGCCGTCGGACCGTTTGAGAGAGCGCGTTTCACGGGCGCTTGCCTTGGGAACATTTGGCGGCGCGTTTCGAACCGCCCCCCCCCCCCCCCCCCCCAAACACTCGGAACCGTCGATCAGAACCAAGGGGACTCCCCTCCCCCCTGAACCCCCCCTCCCGAACCCCCCCCCCTCCCGGGGGGGGGGTCCAAACCCCCCACCCCCACCCCGGCGCTGGCGGCCGCCAGCAGCGCCGACGGCGGGGACGCAGCGACGATGACCAGAGGCAGCCCAAGGAGGGGGGGGGTCCCAACCCCCCCCGCGCCAGCGCGGGCGCTGGCGGCGGCCAGCAGCGCCGACGGCGGGGACGCAGCGACGATGACCAGAGGCAGCCCAAGGAGGGGGGGGGAGGTCCAACCCCGCCCCGCGCCGGCGCCGGCGCCGGCGCTGGCGGCGACCAGCAGCGCCGACGGCGGGGACGCAGCGACGATTACCACCACTACCAACACCACCACTACCACCACCTCAACCCACCACCTCAACCCACCAGCACCACCAACAAACCACACAACCACCACCAACACTATCACCGCAGCCACCACCAACACCACAACCACCCCCATCACAACTCACCACCACCACCACCACAAAAATCCACCACCACTACCACCACCACCACAGTCTACCACACCACCACCACCACCGCCACAACCACCACCACTACCAGCAGCACAACCCACAACACCACCACCACAAACCACCACACCACCACCACCACCACCACCGCCACCACCACCACCAGCACCACCTCCACAAACCAGCGCCACCATCACAACCCACCACACTGCCACAAACCACCACCACCACCACCACCACCACCATCACGACCACCACCACAACCCACCACAACCACCACAAACCACCACCACACCACCACCAATCCACCACCACCACCACCACCCACCACCAGCACAACCACCACCACAACAAACCACCACACCACCACCACAACCACAACCACCACCACCACCACAACCCACCACCCACCACCACCACGACCACCACAAACCACCACACCAACACCACCACCACCAGCCACCGCCACAACCACCACCACCGCAACAAACCACCACCACCACAAACACCACCACCGCCACCACCACCACCACCACAACCCACCACCACCAGCACAACCACTACCACCACCACAACTACCACGAGAAACCACCACACCACCACCGCCACCGCCACCACCACCTCAACCCATCACCGCCACAACTACCACCACCACCACCACCAGAAACCACCGCACCACCACCACCACCACCGCCACCATCACCACCACCACCACAACCTGCCACCATAACCACCACAACAACCACAACAACCACCACCACCACCACCGACCATACCACCACCACCACCACCACCACCGCCACAACCACCACCACCACCACCACCACGGCCCACCACCACCACCACCACCACGTCAGAGAGGCCCCAAGGGACGCCCAAGAGGCGCCCAGGAGGCTGCACAAATGCCCTTCAGAGGCCCCCGAGAGCCCTCCGACGAGACCCCAAGAGGCATCCATTAAGACTCTGACCCAAAACCAAGGCACGGTGGCGGAGCGTCGTCGTCGTCGTCATCGTCATCGCCGTCGTCCTCGTCGATGCTCCCCGCCTCCGCCGCCCGCCGCCGCAGGCGCCGGCGCCGGCCCAAAAAAGAAGTCGTCGTCCCCACCACCGCCGCCAGCCGCCGCCGACGCAGGCGCCAGCCCGAGGAGAGGGAGAGAGGAGAAGTAGGGGAGGAGGGGGAGGGGAAGAAAGGGGGGGGGTCGACCCCCCCCCCTCCATCCAGGCCAAGGGGGGGGGGTCCGGTTCCAAACCCACCCACCCTCCAAGCGACCACAGAATGCGCTCGTTCGACCGATTCCATCCCTGCAGAGTGCTTGCAGCGACCTGCCCGACTGAGTGGAAAGCTCTGGCCAAGTCCTACTTCGCAGTCCACGACGCCTTGCAGCACCCGAAGCCTGATACGCAGGGCGAAGACCCTGGTTCCTCAGTGCGTTGTGAGCGCTACACGTAGCGACCTTACGTGGCGACCTTACGTAGTGACCTTACGTAGTGACCTTACGTAGCGACCTTACGTTACACGCAGCGTCTTAAGCAAGATGACGTAGCAACCTTACGCGGTGGCTTACGCGGGCCGACAGCGCGGCACGCCATACTTGAAGAGAGGGCGCTAACGCCCGACCTTACGCGAGCAACTCACGCGCCAATGGTTTTGCCTCGCTCATGTGCAGTGTGTCTTGCCCCCCAGTTCCTGACGGGCTTCATGCAGACGCTGTGGGAGGATGGCAAGGTCGCGAACGGCGGGCCCACGGGCAGGGACGAATGATCGTGGCAGGCAACGTGCCCTCAGCTCATGCTCGCGCACCTGGTCTCCTGGGCTGCGGAGACACAAGCGGCACAACACTGAGACGACTTCACCCCCGCCCTTCCCACAGGCGTCTCCAAGACGCCATGCTTTATGTAACATGGGGTTCTGCTGGGCTTCGTGCACAGCATCGGGGAGGCCGCGTTCGAGCGATGCGACCTGCTGAAGCCTGGAGCCACCTGGCCCGTGCACACCCTGCCCGACGTCCCAGAGACCGTGGCCCCCTCATTGCCAAACCCAGCGGACGCCGAAACCACCCTTCCAGACCTGGCCCCCCTACGACAGCCGCCCTGCCCCCCCCCGGCCGACCGAACCGTCCTGTCGCTCCGCCCCGCCAGCCAGTTCGACCCAACGCCGCGGCAGGGCAAGGCGGACTGCACCATCGCACACATCATGGTCCAGCACGCCCGCAAGCTGCACGAGGACATCGAATCATCCTGGCATGACTGGGCCGAAACCAAGCACCAGCAGCAAGGGCGCGCCGACGGCGCTGCAACAGTGATCCTCGACCACCGCTCCTGGACAGAAGCAGAGTGCCAGACGTTTCTGGGCACAGTTTACAGACATAAGGTCCCGGAAGGTGGTGTGCCAGACAACTACCCGTGGAACGGCAGACGCGCAGCCCTGGCACACCTGGCTACACACCTGATCAGACAAATCCGCCGACCCTGTCGGCGTGTAGAGAATGGGTTGTTCTTCTCGTCCGTGCCTCCTTCCCTTTCCCACCTTCTCCGTCTCCTTCTCGTTCGTCTCCCCCTCCTCCTCCTCCTCCTCCTCCTCCTCCTCCTCCTTCATCTCTTCCTCCTGCGTAAAGGAAATTTCCTCCTCCTCCTCCTCACACACTTCCTCCGCCTACCCTGTCACGTTGTCCTTTAGCTCCTTCCTGTGATCACACATCCCGTCGCCATCGACGGCCAATACCTTCAGGGTCGGCGGCACTGGCCGTAACGCCTTCACAATAGGACCTGGAGGTGCGCAGCGCGAGGACAGCCTGCTCCCACAGTGGTCCACGTTCCTGGGCTCCAACTGCCCCGCGCTGGGCAACGACCCGGCCGGTACAGCCAGCTGCACCTCACGAGGATCCTCGCTGGCCACGGGATTCGGGATATGAACTCTTGCCTGCTAGCCAGCTACCGGCCGCCGGCAGACGCCCACCCCTGCGGGACAACGACGGCCCCACCCCGGACCCCAGGAACAGCAGCACCTGAGGAGGGGCAGCCAGCCCCAGTAGCCGGCCCACAGAGCCCCGCCGAAGGGCAGACAGATACCGATGCTCTACAAAAGGCGCCCGAACCCCCAACTGCACACGGTGGACAGGGACACTTCGGAGACGACAGCAGCGGGCAAAGCCACCGCAGTCCCAGCAACTGTCAGGTGGCTCAACGCCCACATGGGCACTGAGCCACCAGCCCCCACTGCGGCCCCAAGGGGGGTGCAGCTTGCGCCAGAACCTCCCTTGGTCAGCTCCACAGCCACCCCCCTGA